TCGCGGTGTGTGTGTGTGTGTGTGTGTGTGTGTGTGTGTGTGTGTGTGTGTTTATCGCCAGAAGATCTATTGTGTTCTTTTTGAGGGTTTCAATCTTCTTGCTCTGCTTATCTAGTTGTTTTTTCGGTTCTTGAAATTGTTGATATGACTTGTCTCTGAACTCACCGAGTTTTTTCAGAAGCACCATCTTGAATTCTGTCATTTAAGCTGCATATTTCTATGTCTGTAAGCTTATTTTCTGTAGATTTTTCTCTTTCTTTCTGAGATGGCTTGTTACCTTGGTTGTTCATGGTGTTTAACGGACTATTTCTCAGCCTGGGCGTTAATGGCAATGTATTCTGCTTTTTTCCAGAAAGAAGATTTATTATATAAGGTCTCTCTTTAGCCTGCTGCAAAGAAGGCGCTTTTCTTTTGGTTTCTAGTAGGCTGTGTCTAATCCTCTTGGATCCCTGCTTTATATAAAGCCTAAATAATGCCTTTTAAAATTTTCTTGTAGATATTTAATCACATTCGCTACCCTCAGTTTCAGTCCTTGTCAGTGTCAGGGACAGTCTCGGCAGTATTTGCTCAGATTCCCCTGAGGCTCTGCGGTGGTTGGTCTTGGAAAGTATGGAGGAGGGGCCCTCTGGGTTGGAGGTTGAGGACTGAGGCTCAGTCTCGGTTTTGTAACCAGAGCCAGTAAAAATCAACTGTTGTTTCTCTGCGGTCTCATCCCACTTCTCTGCTTTCTGATGACTTGGCCCTGCCGCCGGCTGCGTGGAACTTGCAGCACTTCCAGGCAGGGCTGTTCAGGGAAGTTGCCACACCTTCTCCCCTCCCCCTCCTACTGCAGGGAGCTCCGGAGGCTCTGAGAGGCAGCTTCTTTATTTCTTCCAGTCCACCGCTTGACACCTGGGGTTCTGACCTGTGGTAGCTCTTATGTGCAGATCCCATGCTCAGACGTGGTGGCAAGCAGTTTGGGTGTTTTTTTTGTTGAGTTTTAGATATTCAGCTTATTGTTGTTCCAAGGAGAGAGATCTGAGGACGTCTCTCACTCCACCATGTTTCCCAGAATCCTTCTTGTCTTTTCTTTTTATTGATGGCTTCCTTTGCTGTGCAAAATCTTTTAGTTTGATATATTTCCATTTGTTTGTTTTATCTTTTGTTTCCCATGCCTGAGGAGATATGTCCAAAAAAATTACTAAGGGCAATGTCAGAGAGTTTACTCTCTATGTTTTTTTCTAGGAGTTTTATGGTTTGGATTTATTTCTGCGCTCTCTATTCTGTTCCATTGATCTATATGTCTGTTTTTATGCCAGGACCATGTTGTTTTGATTACTATAGTCTTGTAGTATAGTTTGATCAGGTAACGTGATACCTCTTACTTTTTCCTTCTTTCTCAAGATTGCTGTAGCTATTCAGGATCTTTTGTGGTTCCATATAAATTTTAGGATTATTTGTTCTAGTTGTGTAAAAAATGCTATTGTTCCATTGATCTATATGTCTGTTTTTATGCCAGGACCATGTTGTTTTGATTACTATAGTCTTGTAGTATAGTTTGATCAGGTAACGTGATACCTCTTACTTTTTCCTTCTTTCTCAAGATTGCTGTAGCTATTCAGGATCTTTTGTGGTTCCATATAAATTTTAGGATTATTTGTTCTAGTTGTGTAAAAAATGCTATTAGTATTTTGATAAGGATTGCATTGACTCTATAGATTGCTTTGGGAAGTATGGACATATTAATGATGTTAATTCTTTCTGTCCATGACGATGCATACAAGATTGATTTGATTTTGTCTTGTCAATCTGCCTCTTGTTGATTCGATTATTCAGCCACCCCAAAAAGAACCAGAGGAAGGAAAGGAAAATTTTTCTATTCCCCACGGTTTTAATGTTGTGTGCAGGATTTTCACTGGCTGGTAAAATTCTTCACTGGCTAGCTGAGAAATTGCTTTCCCTGGCTGGTGCACTGGGTTGTGCCCTGAGGGGTCTGGAAAAAAGGGATTACTCTGACATTCTAAGAGTATGTTATTTTAGATGCAAAAAGACAAGAGATGGTCTCACTTAAGGTTACAACTAACCTTTGTCAAGAAAGTTACAGGCCTAGGACTGACTACCCACCATGACCCACTCGTAGGAATTTTTATGTTCAGACAACCTATGTGGTTAATTTCAGTCTCTGAGTTTATAGGGCCCACCATGCAGGCCTCCCATGAGCTTGTCAGATTTAGTATGTGGCCCTTTTTTTTTGTCCACATAAGGTACCGTAAAGCAAGCCTTCCTGCTCTTTTTTGGCAACTCCTGCACAAGTGACCTGTATGCCCTTAGCTTGGAGGTCAGGTCTGAGTGTGTTCTTTATATCTTCTAGAGAAAGGGAAATTAAAGTAGGTAGCTGTGTGTTCTTTGGAGAAGTTGGAGTCTTGAGATCTGGCTGAGCTGATTGAGCTGGGTTTTGAGAATGGAGGTTTAGACCAGGCACTATGATTACACCAAAGTTATCGGACAGGCCCGAAGGCCCCTTGGAGAAAACCCCCATCACAGGAGAAATAGATGGCCAGACCCTCGTCCAGACCCTACTACAAATGACCCAGGAAATGGCTCTGCTGGAAGCTGACATTCAATGTTACATAGTAGCCATAGTGGAGGTCTTTCCTACTAAAGTTAATTGGTCAAAAGTTGAATTATGTACTCAGGAAAAACATCTAAAAGCATTCATTGAACGTTTTATATAAACTCTCCAAAGACACACAGCATTGAATCTGGAAGTTCCACAGCACAGAAACCTTGTAATATCTGCTCTAGTGGGAAATTTTCTCCCAGATTAAATAATAAAAAAAAAATTCAAAATAGCATGGTTGGGTGGTTGAAGCTACTGCTAACTGTGATAATGGAGGCTGCCATGCAATTCTTTCAGAATAGTTTACAGAAAAGCAGAAGAAAATAAGAATTAAGGCAACAATTCTTGGTCTACAACTTGAATCTTTAGAGAAGCAAAAATATGACTCAGAATTAATCAAATCCCACTCAGAGCTCTTCCTCTTTGTCTCCAGACAATTGTAGGTATTGCAAGAAACAAGGACATTGCATAAGAAATTGTCCTGCACTTAAGAAGAAGGAAAGTTTGAGAAGCAACTTCCCTAAGTACATGCACTCTCAGAAGGTGCATTTTTCTTCTCCTGAGAAGGAATTTCCCATCAGGTGACGGGGTCAGTGGATCCTCAGTTGCACCCCAGAGCCTACCATTAAACTTAAAGTAGAGGATTGGAAACTGAATTTTTTTACCACTTTTTTTTTTTTAACATTTACTATGAAACAAACTTTACACTATGTACTTTCTTCTTCCTTTGTATTATACCTTTCAGATTGATGTCCAGGTCTGGTAATGTTAGATCTTGAACATTTTTATTGGCACAAGAATATGGAATGCTTCACGAATTTGGGTGTCATCCTTACGCAGGGGCTGTGCTAATCTTCTTTGTATTGTTCTAATTTTAGAATTTGTGCTGCTGAAGCAGCACTGAAACTAGATTTCTTAATTGACTCTGGTATGACTTTCTATACAATCTGTTCAGAAGATCTGCCACTACCTGTCACATCTGATTCTATTCATGCTGTTGGAATCTCTGAGCAACCTATTTCATTGCCCATATATCAGCCCACTCCAATATCTTTAGGCCTTCATAACACCCATCATGCCTTTTTAGTTTCAAACTGCTCACCAGCAAATCTCTACGGCAGAGATTTGTTATGTAAATTTAATGCCAGTATAAAATGTAATGAGAAGAGCATTTTTATTTTCTTGCACTCAAATTAAGCCCCGAATCTCTTACTTTCTTTATTAGAAAGTCATCCTGATTTAAATTTCTCTGAAGAGGATGAATTTTTAAAAGATACCCCAATTAGCCTTTGGGCCACGCATTCAGATGAAGTCAAATTGCTACGGAGTACAGAGCCTATGCACATGACTTGGAAAAAGAATAAACCATTTTCAAAAAAAAAAATAAACCAATATCCTCTCTTTAAGGAGGCAGAGTGAGAATTTTTTTTACATCTTCACCCTGTAATACTCAAATCTTGCTAGTAAAGAAAGAAGACAATTTGACTCAGATGGGAATCAAATTTATTGATTTCTACGGGACCTAATAACCATAAACTCTTTTGTAATTGTTTGCCATCCAGTGGTCCCTAATCTGCTACTCTTCTTACCCCGGATTTCTGCTGATACAGCCTGGTTTACAGCAGTTGGTCTCTGCTCAGCATTCTTTTCAATTCCTGTCCATTCTGACTCTAGGTTTCATTTTATATCTACTTTTAAAGGGACAAATTAACAAGGACTCTCAATGTTTTTCCAAATTCTTAAAACAGATTTAGACTCTTTAGCCTTTACCCTAGTCTCTACGCTTTTTCAGTATATAGATGACCTTTTCCTCTGTAATAAAACTAAGCAGGGAGCACTTATAGACTTCCTTATTCTCCTAAAGACACTACCTGAAAGAGGCCATAAAGCCCCCAGATCTAAATTTCAGTGGGTAAAGATTACTGTTACCTACTTAGGACATGAGATATCTCAGGATATTCAAAAGCTAACCCTAAATGCCTTGAGTCAATTTTATCTACCCCTTTCCCCAAGACAAAAATAAAATAAAATTTTTTAGAGGCAGCTGGCTACTGTTGCCAGTGGATTTCTAATTTTGCAGCCCTTTCTAAATCTCTGTATGCTCTTCTCTCAGATAACATCTCAGAGCCTATTTTCTGGTCTTCAGAGGCACTAACCACCTTTGAAGCCCTAAAATTAGCTTTGTCCCCACCTCTGGCTCTTGGCTTACCTAACTTTGACAAATCCTTTCATTTATACTGCCATGAAAATAATGGGATTGCTGCAGGCATTCTAGGACAATCTTTTGCTTCTCAGACATGTCCTATAGCATATTTCTCATGCCAATTAGATCCTGTGGCATCAGGCATGACCCCAGGCCTACATTTTGGTGGCTGTAGCTGCTACTTTGATTGACAAAGCCAGTACTCTAATGTTAGTCTTCTGCATTCACCTCTATGTTCCCCATGCCATGTCTGCTATTTTACAAGTTCATAAGACACAACATCTCTCCACACGGCAACAGAACACCTAAGAACAGGGACTTTTAATTAATCCTTCTATCATCTTACATCATAACACTTTGGATCTAGCTGCTTTACCACTCCTTCCTGATGATGGAGAGCTCCACAATATCCCACTTGACTGACTGACAGGTATATAAATGGGATCAAAGCCACGAGAGGATCTCTCAAATATCTATTTAGACAACCCGGATTTACTTTTATTTTGTAATGGGTCCTGTAAACAAAATTTCTAAGGAAACATAATAACTGGCTATGCCATAGTTTTCCCACACCCGAGGCATACATATTCTTTGTTCCCTGTAAAATTAGTCCAAGCTGCTCTTAGCTCTTACTCATAACTCTTACTAGAGTTTGCACTTTGGCTGAAAGAAAAACTGCCACTATTTACGCAGACCTCGATACGCTTTTGGAATCTGTCACACAGTTGGCACCATTTGGAAATCCTATGGATTCACAGCTTCTGCAGGTAGTCCTATTGCTAATGAACATATAATTGCTGCCCTATTACAGCCCTTCACCTCTTGTCTAAAATTGCTATTGTTCACTGCTCGGCCCATACCAAGGAGACATACTGTTTTGGGAAACAATAGCGCTGACAGAGTTGCTAAATATGCAGCTCAAAATGGACCGCCTTAACCTTTCTCCACCCAATTTTTAAATCTGCTTTAAACCGCATCGATGTTATTAACTGCCAGGCAAATGTCCCACAATCTGAAAAAGAAAAACAGATACAAAAGGGTGCCAAATGATTATCTGGTGGATAATTTGTTGGGCCAAACAGCCTTTCTGTAGCTCTTTTTCCTTTAACCTTTTGGCTTGCATTTATATCCCACCAAGTGGGACATATGTGCAGATGTGGGCAGGGGGGTAGGGGTGTAGGGGGATAATTAAGGAACTAAAGCAGGACAATTGGTTTTTCCCAGCATCCACAAAATTTCTAACCAGAATATTTCCCAGCGTGCTACTTGTAAATCCCACCAAATTCCTAGGAGAAATAATGTACCTCAGGACTGCCCTTTGGGGCAATCTAATTGGATTTTATAGACTTGCCCCACAGCTATTGGGTATTCTTACTGTTTGATGATTGTCTGCATGTTTAGTGGGTGGACCAAATATTATTCAATTAGATGTGCTAATGCCACTTCAGTGGTAAAGAAATTAATAACTGAGATTATTCCTTGGTTTGGTATTCCTTTATGGATTGAATCAGATCAAGGAACTCATTTTACAGCAGAGATAAACCACTTGTTCGCAAAAACTCTGGGGTACTCAATAAAATTTCATATCCCATATCAGATATCCTTAATCATCAGGGCAAGTGGAACCTAAAAATCTAGATGTACAAAGGATTCTAGGAAACATCTAGCAAGAACCTGGACTTAAGTGGCCAGAAGCATTGCCTTTGGCCCTTATAAAGATCCGGAATACTCCAAATAGGAAACATAGATTAATCCTTTTGAAATAGTTTTTGGACACCCAATGTCTACTGGTTTCTCTAAACCTTCCATTTGTGGAGTAAGTGAACATTATCGGAACTTATGTGAACAGTTTGATATTATGACTAGCTATATACACGAACTAACTAGTATACTTGAACCATATCATCAACAGGCAAAAGAGGTGTGGCCCTTATCAACTGACAAGCCTTGCCATCTCTTTCGACCAGGAGGCCAGATGAATATCAAGATCTTTAGAAGAAAACAGGCCCAGTCACCTTGATGGGAAGGACCTCATGAAGTACTGCTGACCACCTACACTGCCATCAGAGTTAAAAAAGGTCCTCTTGGATCCACACAAGCCATGGAAAAATAGATCCAGATTGTTACCACTCCCTAGACAACTGGGAGTCAGTCCCAACAGGTAACCATAAAGTAAAGATCTCTAGGCTCCAGAAGCAGACAGCACCATGAACAAGACAGTTTTTCTAAAGATCACTGATCAAGAAACTGCTTCCACTTATCCTCACTTCCTATTGACACTCCTCATACATATATGCACTAAAAAATATACCCACCTTTTTATTAATAATTTTCTACATTTATTAATCAGAAAGCTGACTGGAGAGTACCTGACTTTATCAACTCTACTTCTTCCCTCTCTAAAGCTTCCAGTATGGGCTCCCTTTCAACCTGTGTCTTGCTCTTACTAACCTTTTCTTTTTCAACAGGTCTGGTGCAGACCAAACACTTTCTTATGCTAGTTTGCCAAACCTTGGCCACGTTAACTAACCGATCTAACTGTTGATTACGTCAAAATCTAGATACTGTGAAAGGGCCTAAAATAATCTTTGTGCCTGCAGATGTGAACACCTGGTGGACTGAGTATGGAAGATGAATAAGTGATTGGGCATGATATCCACAGCAGGAAAAATGCCACTGTCTTTTCTTCTTCTGGTGTGTCAGTTGGGCCCCAGAAAACCCCTATAAAAGCTCAAAGACTGTCCATTGCTCAGATATAGACAATAGGCAAAAATTTTCCCCTTTGCATTGATAACAGACATGACACTGGCCTTTTTTTGGTAACATACCAGAACAATAGTGCAATCAAACTCTGTAGTTTGATGCCACAGGTGGCATCTTTGAATCTCAAGGAAATTGTAAGTGACTGTAGTACTACCTTTTTTAGAACAAATGTCAGCCAAATCATCAAATGTTCTGGATGGCTCACAAACCACCCTTGTATAACTTGGAGTATTACAGTTGTGTTCTGCAGGTTCGGGGTACCGAACCTTGGGGTGATTGGTTCTGGCAGGTGGAAGAATATGCGAGGAGCTGTGGGCAGATGTAACATAGCTTTATTCAGGCATAGCAGCACACAGCAAGGCACAGGCACAGCTCCAGCTCCCCCACCTGCACAGGAGGGGCTGTTCTTATAACAAGGTGCACACTAGTGGCTTAAGGCCAGGTACTATAACCAATCACAATCAATCACAGTGAGTATGTATCCTACAAGTTGTATAAAACGCTGTATCTAAGGTCATCTGGGATGCTGTAGCTAAGGTCATCCGGAAACCGTATGGCTTGCTGGGAGGGAGCCTGACTGCATCCATTTTGTTTGTCAGTTCCCTCACTCAACAAGCTGCCTCCCTGATTAAGCTGCCCAATAACGCAAACTATGTGTGGGTGGATCAAAAAGTCTTGACTTACTTGGTTAGTTGATAGAACCAAGCTTTGCAGCTGCTAACACCAGACTAAAGGCCTCCTATGCCAGTTATTTCACAGTCTGTTCTGCTCTTACAGATTGACATGAACACATGGAAGATGAAGGTATATGGATAACATAAATTGTGAAATATCTCAGGTCCTGGGAATTATAGATTCCACTTTAACCTTGACTGTAAATCACACTGGTCTTTTTATCTTATGTGGTGGTAAGACATATAAAAGATTTCTGCCTA